GCGCGAGCGCAAAAAAAAGCGGCATTTACGTTTTCAAAAAATAACAAGACATGGACTTGTAATTGACCTCGGAGGAAAATAAAAATAAAAATGATCTCGGATAGTACTCACAATTGTAAAACCTTGGGAAAAACCTGAGCAGTGCATGACATGCAGGGAGCCCACGGATACCCGTACCCTCACAGAATTATAACAACTCTAACATTGTGTGAGGGATAGTTTACCTTGGTAATAGTAAATGCATCCGTATTTGACAAACTGACAGGCTTCCTGCCATTTCTTATCCAGCTGCTAGTCGCACAACCAACCACCACAAAGCCTTCCTCAAGCGACGTTTTCATCAGTGGCAAGAAACCTGCACACCGCAGCAGACGGACGTTGATTGTCAGTGCAAAGTACTCAGATTACTTTCCAGTGTTTCCACGCCACAACGGGAGGTAATATGACAAAAGTGTACTCGACCAACCCTTTAACTTTGCGGTCGACACAGACTCCACAGTTTCAGCAGACAATGCAAGTACATCAGCAGCAGCGAACAAGACAAACTCAAGAGGGACACACCTACAGTGAAACACATCAATCACAACGACAAAAAAAAAAAAAAACACCGAAGAATTCAATAGGGATTCACGCCAACAAGGAAACCAGAAGACAGCAGCAAACGTAAGGAAGCAAAACAGCTCAAGAGGAGGGGAGTTGCCCGCACACAAAACCTGAAGATAGCAGCAGTGGCGTCAGCCTTTGAGCAACAGAAAACAGGAGGGAATGTGCTCAAGGTATACATGGGCGCGGATGCAAAATGACAACTTTAGGAGAGAACTGAAACCCGGTCTATGATAACACAGTAAAAGCAACCCAGCTCGAGGCCAGTCAAGGTTAAGCTAGGAGCCGTCCTCTCTTCTCGGGAAGTCAGAGCAGGCAGCCACTGACTGGAAGAACAAGCTCTGAGCCTCTTGCAACCTCTGAAAATGTAACACCTTGCAAATTGTGCTTCATCGTTGTACTATTGATATTTACGGTCTATCTCACGTGGCCATCGACTTTTCCAAAGCGAACTTAAGAACTTACCTTTCTTCCAAAGAAGTCAGGACGGAGGGACTCTTCGCCTTTTCCCTCAAAACCAATGCAGGGCAATAGCTTATACCACGGCATACCACCCTTAATTTATTTTTTTTCAAAAGAGGACCTCATGCTCTTGCCTGCGTTCTATTCTGGGGAAGCTTATAGCACGGAATCTCGCCGCCCCTTCTGATTGTTTTTTCTGCCTATCCACTGTAACGTCATAGCATGTTATACCAACTGCAGTTTGTGAAAGCAAGGATTTTTTGTACATACCTCGCTCTGCTTCCATACGCTTGAACTTGGGGGTGGAGAAACCAAAGCTGACACATGGTGCCCCTGTGAGATCTTCCAACGCATCAGCTGGAGAACCTGAGCATATCCTTGCATAAGAGCCATGAAGCTTCGCATATGCCTTTTCCAGAAGAGGAACCCATAAACCACCGGCAGCCGAACCTCCTGGAGTTCAAGATTTCGTAAGCAATTTATTCCACAAGGCAGAGTTTAAGATTTCGTAAGCGATTTATTCCACAAGGCAGACGTCAAATTGACCACCACATTAACCCAATTAGCTAGACTAGCACTGCAAATTGTTCAGGCAGCAGTGACTTCAGCCTGAGTCCGGCACACAATAGGCCCCTCCCCTCGTAACATAGCGTAAGCCAGCTAAAGCCACCCAATTCACTGAGGCGACAGCCAGAGGCAAAGCTGGGAGCATGAAAATGATGCAGCACGTGAAGCCGTAACCTGGGTTGCCTAGATCACGAAGTTCAAGCAGAGAGAAATGCACATTGAGAACATGGCGTCCCATGCAAAAATGAAAATGTTGACGAGAGAGAATCCGACAATAGCGGCTAGTGCACGAAGGAAAGCATAATAAAGGTGGCAATGAGGCTCAACGCACGAGCAAATTGCTAGTGGTAGTAAAGGGTCAATTTCATCCACAAACTGATACAGAAAGAAATAGACATAAGAAGGTAGTGCACAATGCACAAAGGCAAACCGCCAAGGAGACAAGCATCGAGTGGAAGTAGTTTCACTAGCTGCACAATGGCAATGCTAAAAGGGCCCACTCTCCTCCATCACAAGCCAGCCATTGGGTGCCATGGCTTTGTTGGGAATTGGAAGCCCTTCCACTGGCTTCCAGTTCCGGAGATTGCAAAGTTCGTTCTAAATTTTGATTGGAACCCCCATGCCCACACAAACAGATGTCCTATCGTGCTGCATAAACACACCACTACATGGTCCCATGTAAGTGTTGCTACCTGAACATTCCTCTATTCCATAGCAAACCAGCTACCATGGCATCACTGGAAATTGGAAGCCCTTTCAGGGGTTGCAAAGCAGGTCCTGGAATTTCGTGTGAACCTCCATGCGACACAAACAAATGCCCTGTGCACGACCTACAAGCACTGCCAAACTTTGGACATCATGGCGAAGAAAAGCAAGCCTGAAACCTGGTGTGGCCTTGTATCCAGACTGTAGATGAATTGATATGATAGTGCAAGGAAATGCGCAATGTTCTTCCAGTTTGACATTTGGGCGACTGTCTATGAATTGATACGACAGTGCAAGGAAATGAGCAATGCCAACAGCAACAAACCAAATTGCAACATCTCACTGAAGACCAGATATCATTGACCCGAAAGTTGGGCCGAAACTGAAAGCAGAAAGAGCAAAGTGTGATCACACCACATGAAATGAGCAAAGCAGTGGAGTCTCTTGATAACGAAAGCACTCCCAACGCCTCCATAACCAAAGTGAGTGCAACAACAATGTAGCTCCCTACTGGCGGCTATCCGTCCAGACTACTGACAGACAATCCTAGACCTAGCCTGCGATGCTACAACAGGTCCCACATGAAGTCCACCCAATGGCGCTTGAAGACTGATTGAACAGCCTGCCTTTATTAACAGCAGGTACATGCCTTGTCACACTGCTCTCATCTCCTTCTTCCCGACAGCCCTTCTCCTTCCAAGGACTTCCGCTACCCCAGCACCGCTCAGCTTAGTCAGCTATGGTCCAGTGCAGCCTGGCTATGGCCGCCTGACCCCTCCTCTCTCGCTGCCACCGTGCAGCTCCCTCCACTGGCTGCACGCGCTAAGCTGCTGCTCGGGCAGTGTTGCCGCATGCCGAATGCCAGAATGTACTGGAGGCTGCGCCCTTCAGCGTTTCGTGCTGACTGGAGAGGCCGAGCAGCCTCTGGCCTGGCTGCGCCCAGTCCCAGTTGTGTGCGCCCTAGGACCCTTCTGGAAGCTGCACCCAGGGCCAGTGTGCGCAGCATCTCCAACTAACTGCGCCTACCAGTTCGTTGGAGATGCTGCAAAGATGCTGCACACACTGCAACTACTCGGCCCCCCATTTTGCACACATTGGCCTTTTCCAAGGCCCCACTACATTTTCGAACTGAAGGCAGGCGGGGACCTTTTCATGGCTGACTGAGATGCTGAATCCACGCAACAGCCCTTAGTTCCTGAGTGGATATGGCAGAATGGCAACGCCATCAGGCCCATCACACCTGCGATCGCGCCTAGCAAAGTGCATTGTCTCATGGCATGATTTTCTATTTTTGAAACATCTACATCAGGAGGAATCCCAGGATACATATTTTACTAGGTGTTGGTGTCAAGGAAAGGATGAACAGGGCTTGTTTCAGTTCTCAATGGAAACAATGCACACCACATCGTTCTGTATTCTCCAACGTTATCCATGCCTAGCAAAGTACATCGTCTCATGGAATGATTTCTATTTTTTAAACATCTACATCAGGAGGAATCAAAGGATACATGTTTTACTAAGAGGTAGGTGCTGATGTCAAGGACAAGGATGGGCAGGGCTTGTTTCAGTTCTCAATGGACACAATGCACACCACACAGTTCTGTATTCTCCAACGTTATTACATTGAACTCCAATGTGACACGATCCACTTACCAAAGGCTGGCTTTCCATCCCGACAAGGGATCGTGCTGCTTACTGCGATCGTCACCCACCTGCACAGAGCTCGGCATCACCAGAATATCACACATGCACGGCCACTTCTCGTCAGTTTCTCTCAACTGTTGCAGCACCAGTGGTTGTGGCAGCCCTTGCAGGCAAGTTGAGCAGGATAGTTGCCCCCTGGCCAGGAGTCTGATTGTCTGGCTATCAAGCACTGCGAGGCGGAAACCTCCAGGAACCCGTTGTTCTTTAATGATCAAAATAAAATATTTATAAAAAAGGTGCGCTGTGCACCATCAGGGCACATTGGCCAGCCATTGTCTCTGTCTCTTCATTCAACCCCCAGGACGCAGCTGCAACATTCCCAAGGGTGACGAAAGTCGGGGTATTTTGGGGTTTGTGGACCTGGGAATCTGAGGGCGGGGGACGCGCCCAGGGGTTGGCAGTGGGGATGGAGGAGAGATTCAGGGGTTGGAGGGAGGAGGCGAAGGGACTTCCGAGTAGAATGATGAAGGCAGGGGGGAGCGGTCTGGGCTGGAGAGGTGCAAGGAGAGAGAAGGGGGTTTTGGGGTTGGGGGATGGGGGATGGGGGATGGGGGATGGGGGGATGGGGGATGGGGGATGGGGGATGGGTTCCACAGGTGCTTGGAGGGAGGGGGGCAGGGCTGGGGCTAGGGCTGGGGATGGGACTGGGACTGGGGTGGGTGTCGAGCAAAGGCTGGACGGTTCTGTTTCTCTCTCATTTCCAACCCCATTTTACCGAGGAAAACTCTAGCGTCCGTAGGTGTTTCCAGCCAGTAACGGCTCAAGGATTTTTTTTACCTTGACGCCCCTCCTATGTCCCGTTCCAACCCTCCCTTCTTAGGGCTCTGCAACCAGGTTCAACCCACCCCTGGGGCGGCGGGGATCAACTAGGGCTCGGAAGAACGTGTCTGAATGAGCAGCAAGCCAAGAGCATCGTATCCACCTGAAGTGCTGCACGTCCGCATACAGTCTGACAATGGTGACATGGTCATTACGAAACTTTCCCAGCCTTCTTGAACAAAAAGGCCATGACATTCTTGTAGTCTGGTAGTAATTCTGATAATGTATCCATCCCATAGTTGCAGCGCATTGAGGTGCGCGGCTCAGCGCACGTCTGGCGCGCTGCACATCGCACCCGATGCGGTGTAAAAAAAAAAAAAGTGGTCCGGTGGTCCGCCCCCCCCAAATAAAAAGTGCAAGGGGTCATGGAACACCCTGCCTCGTGGATATAATTATGATAAGGGCTAAACCCCTTTCTGAAAAAGAGAAGGAAAGTGGGTTTAAGGCCTCTCTCTCTGTCTCTCACATACACACACGCACACACAATTATGATAAGGGCCAAACCCCTTTCTGAAAAAGAGAAGGAAAGTGAGTTTAAGTCCTCTCTCTCTCTCTCTCACACGCACACACACACACACACACACACACACACACACACACACACACACACACACCTTCAGAGACACGCCCGTCTGCACACTTCTGAATAATTCAGACTTCGAAACGTGGAACACTGATGATACTATGCACTGTAGTATGCAGTAACCTACGAGCCTTATACGTCTACTTCCTTGGATTTGCTTTTCCTTGCTGTCAAAGCCATGTAGTAGTAGGAGACTCCTAGACATCCTGTGCTTGGCAGTTGGCTGAACGATATGCACATGTATTCGAGGTGTGCCTTGTAACTGTCATGTCTCTCTCTCTCTCTCTCTCTCTCTCTCTCTCTCTCTCTCTCTCTCTCTCTCTCTCTCTCTCTCTCTCTCTCTCNACACACACACACACACACACACACACACACACAAGCACGGCTTTTTTCTTTCTTTTTCTTTTTCCGTGCACGTGCATGCGCACCACTCTCTTGCGCATGGCGCACAGCGCCCCGCGCAGCACCGCGCACTGTAGCAGTGTGCTGCAACTATGATCCATCCCCTTACCGGATGCCACTTTGATGGGCACTACAGCAGACAATGCCCTGCAAACCATAATGCAAACCGTATGGAGATTACGGTTTTTAGCATGCAAATGCGACTAGAATACCTGCTCGTACAGACAACTGCAGCCATTCATTAAAGCAGTGTTTGCACAAAGCCATGCAGAGCACATCAGAAACATATTCTACTTGAATCCAAACTGGGTCCCATGTTCCATCGTTTCACAACTTTCAGTGCACTTTCTTCACACATACATAAAACAGAGCTGGCTGACTCTGAGTTAAATACGAAATTAAAACGAGCTTAAGAACTTGGTATGATACTCGACACCCACTGCATCCCCTCCGCGCACGAGCCCACCATATGGAAATAAAAGAAAAAGAAGGGGTAATCTTTAGCTAGCAGCATTAGTAAGGGGCGCTGGACCCGGTTTCCAGCAGGGGACAAGCTAGGGTTTAGGCTTCAAGGAGGGACGGGGATCCGTAACTCGATATACGCCGCCGGGGGGGGGCAGAAAGGTGGTGGTGAGGGACTTCAGTTTCTAGTCCTTCGGTCTTTGTTGACAGCAATTGGATTTGGTTTAAAAGCCGAAGCTGGGTAATGGCCCCAGTAGTTCAGGTTGAGACATGGAGGGATTCCCGGCCTCCAACCGTTTAAATGGTAATAAAATTGCTGTTCCCGGGGAGGGGGGGGGGGGACTTGGTACGATACCTTTCTTGCTTCTGGCTAGTAAAATCAAGCGTAGTACTTCTTATCAGTTTCATATCTATTATCCAATGAATTGTATTTTCAAGTGACAAAAAACTCTGTATGAATGCCAGCTCGCTTTAGACAATCCCCATCAACTCACCGTCCAGATTTGAAAAAGCGCAGCTTGTAGACACCATCTTTGGTGGCTTTCCCATGTAGGAAAACTTTGTCTAGAATGCCTGGGAACTGGGCAACTGCCGCCACAGTGGAAAGCAGCCAAGAATCCGATAACAATCCCAACCGGACATCCGCTGCCTGAATTGTGGTCGGACAAAGTACAGGCGTAGAGGGGAAGACGTCTTCAGCCGAAAGCAATCGTACATCAGCATGAGAAGGAAGCAAGGGCGGATCATACTTGGCATCCGACAGCCTTCCGTACGTAGTGACCTCGATAGAAGGGTGCAAGTTATGGGCCGACTGCCATGGCAGTGACTGCAACAGTTGGGGCATGTCGGCATTAACCAGGCCGGAATGTCTAGCCATGTCTAGTATTTCCTGCCGTGCAGGATGCTGACGCAGCACAGATAACCATTTTGTTGGCAATGCCCCTAGATCTAGCCTGTTCTCACTCTCGCTCCTGTCCCTGGCCTCCCTCTGGCCAGCTGACACCACCTGGACAGGGGGAACCTTGCGGCAATTAGAAGGTTCAAACTTGATGTGAAGAGGGAGTTCGAGAATGGGAATGGGATGGCTTTCAGCAACGGGCCCTCCACCCCCGGCAGGGCATGGGGATGCCTGGCGTACCACAGACCGGCTGGAAAAGTTTGACTGGAAAGGAAGAGCAGAGGCCTCTTGGAAGCACTTGCGCTCTGGAGGGCGCTTTGCAATAGGAACATATGGCTCCGTAGCCGGCTCTGTTGACCATCGGAAATCGAGCGAGGCAATCGCCAGCTCCGATGACAAGGAGAAGGGGTCGATCGTTCTCTCACTGTCGATCTTTGGACGGAGCAGAAGCTGCATCTGGTACGAGGCCATCATCGTCCATGGCCCCGGAACCGCCGGGGGAAGAGGGAATTCCACAATGGACCAATCGGAGGCCCCGCAGAACAACGCACTTCCTTCGTGGCCATCCGTTCCCGCGGTCGCATCCGGAAGACTCCCGATGGTGCCTGAGGTCTCTGGCGGATTGTTCCGGTTGGTGAGAGGTTCACTGGGCGGAGGCAGAGTCGCTTCGCCCCCTTTCCGACCATAGACATCTTCGTCTTGTGAAGGTTTCTTGCCCGCTTCCTTCAGGACTCCTGCTAACACGGCAGCCGGCTCCGGAGGGACAATATCACTGCGTTCAGTTGTTGTCAATCTGACCCATGAGGAGGCAGAGGAGGAAGAGGAAGCCGATGAAATTCGGGCGCGTGCAGACAACTCTGTTGTTGCCGCTGGTGAACTGGCCAACTCCACACCAACACGAGTGGTTGAGTGGAAGGTTAGCATGAAACGCCGTGGTCCCACGTCGGACTCTAAATGGGAATCGGGGACATCATGCCGATCTGCTCGGGCGGTCGAAGTTCTCGCAGGGTCGAAGTCAAGTGCCTTCACGATCACTTTGTATGTCCCAGGGCTCAAAGCTGCCTCCACCAGGCAAGTCACTTCATCCGTCTCTTTCCATGCTATCCAATGGTCATCCTTGTCCACAAGCCCAACGCCCACATTCACTGTTTCTCTCGCACCCAACCTGTGCAGGCAACACATCAAGACGACAACAGCAACCACATTGCGAAAAGTCCAATGAAGGCCGGTACCATTGCAGGATGATAGTCCAGGTACATTCTCCTCGAACTGCGCAGTAAGGTTGCATCTTTTTCGCCTAGAGTCAATTGGAGAAAGGAGAGGCAGCAATACCCGACTTGAACACAGCATTCAACGGTTCTCGGAAGAAAAAATATTTTTAGAAGTAATAAGAGGGTTTCCTCACTTCCGTGAACAGAGCAGACTTATTCTGTGCATCTGTTCTCAGTTATTCATTTGGGGAAAAAAAAAACGATATTAATGCCAATCTAAATTTCATCAAATACGCCAAAAAAATGATAAATTGTCACGGAATGACATTAGGAAAGCAAAACAAAGATTCTGAAATGAAAACTACCGGCATTACTTATAGAAAAAGATGTGAAAAAAAAAATAATAAATCACGCCATTCACGTACGTTCATTCATCAAGCTTCATTAAATTGCGTTCGTTAAATTTCATTTTCACACAATTTTCCAGACGATTTAGGGCATAACTCACAGGGCCTCGTTCCACCACTCACCATATGCACAGAAGACAAAATTATGGCCGCGTATCTTTCCATGTTCTAGCAGAAGATTCATTCTCATTTCGCATATTTGGCGAGTGGTGGTCCTGGTCGAGCGAGGCCCACAACACCTGAGTTCGTAATACTTAGAGAAGAAGTCAGACGCGAAATAAGAGAAGTCATCCTCACGCCCGCATTTCATCCACCGCATCATTTGACGGTAAATGCCGAAGATAAATCCTACGACAAGCCTACTCTGAATACGCCTTCAAAGTTCACACGTTTCGACGTGAACTTACTTTTTTGAAGTTTTTTCTTTTTTCGAATATCTGGCGGTCCCTAAGACACCGTGTGTATCGTTCATTGATTGAGCGGCATTGTTATTTTCCCCCCTTTGTATCGACCAGCAATTAGCAATTGGAGAAAGAAAAACTCTCTACATAATATAGTCGTAAGGGGGACCAATTCAAAGAGATCGCAAAAATGGGAATTATGGTATGAAGTACTATAAACTACTATGAAGTACGTACTCTGCTTCAAAATCAGAACTGCACATCACAGCAAGAACAAGGCATCGCAGATCAACGCACACACGGAGAGCCGCAGCCCCAGTTGTTTTATGTTCGCATTTAGGAAGGAAGCAGCATGAACCTGGTCCTGCAAACGGCCAGGTTCGAGCACAAACATGGCACCAATCTTCCATGGTCCTAAGTCTCCTAACGACACTAATACTGACGCATGGCACTACCCACAGCCATGGAGTGGGAGATTGCTGCTGCAGAAAGGAAAGGGCCCATGGAGCTTCATGCTTTCTTTTTCTTCCCGTTTTCTTTTTGTCTACCGCTTCGTGCCGCCGCGCGGGACTTACAGGTGAGGATCCTCCTGATGAAGCCCAATATACACCTCGGAAGGCTCAGAGACCTCCACGTGGAAAACCCTTGTCGGATCTGAGGAGCTGTCCTCCGAGTACTCTCGTGCCCTGCTACACTGCCCGCTAGGAACGAGGGTCCAGGGCATCTTCACCTCTGCCCAGGGCTCCATCATGTCGTGTCGAATGCAGCAGACGACCACTCCTGCGAAATGCTGCACCCACAACGACGGAAAAACCAAACCCATTAATTCATACGGGGTAGATACGTAGTACACAAAAGGGGGCAATGAGGGGGGCAACGAAGGGGGGGCAGAGAGTGGGAGCAGATCCAGCGATGGATGATCCACAAACGACCAAACTTATTAATTCATGTGGGGTAGATACGTAGTACTCAAAGGGGGCCAATGAGGGGGCAATGAGGGGGCAACGAGGGGGCAATGAGGGGGGCAATGAGGGGGGGTAGAGAGTGGGAGCAGATCCACGGAGATCCATGGAGATCCAGCGATGGATGATGTACAAACGCAAAAAGAACTAACACGTGTGGATGTCTCAGCGTCGACTAACACGTGTTGATGTCTCAGCGTCGACTCACTCATTTTTCTCAACCGTCCTGAGCAGGATCCGCATCCGCCCCCCCCCCCCCTCTCTCCTCTTCATCATCATCAACCCTGCCCTGTTTCCCAGAACCAACATGCCAATGGCTAACTGATCACCTCCTCGCAGTTCGAGCCGATCAACACGTACATCCACATCCACATCCACACGCAGGCACGCACGCACCCACAACTAAACCCACACGCACACCCACACACACGCACGCACGGACACCCGCACACGCACACCCACACACCCACACACCGGCACGCACGGACACCCACACCCGCACGCATGCACAAAAGCACACACACACACACACACACACACACACACACACACA